TTATTGACACTGGGTACATAGCCGGAAAGGATGAGCTAGGCCATGACTGTGTTGAAAAGGTTTTTACGTGAGCAAAGGAGAAGCATTGGGGCCAAAACAATTTTTGCAATGTCTTGTAAAGGGTTATATGGCAGACTCCAATACCATACGTTGATGCCCCATCTGTTCATCTTACAGTTTTAAAGCATGCTTAATGCACTACTTGTAACTACTTGCGCCCTCTAGCCAATAATTCCTAAGCGCAGGGCCCGTCGAGCGACTTCCAAAGTGTGGGGGGGGGGGGGGGGAACCAAGAAAAAGGGGCACTTTCTGGAAAAAAAGGGCATCTTCTAAGGGAAATCTCAAAGCGAAAATATACAATTTTTTAATAATTGGTATATACCCCTACATTGTAATTACAATTATAGGGATGGTTTCAATATTTTTTCCACTTTATACACTTATTATATTATAGGCTAAGCATCATGCTTTGCAGTTGGGTTTGATTGTCTAAATAATTGTTTGCGAGCAAGTGAAGCGAGCGAGGAAAAATTCTCAGATGTGTGAGCTCGCAGTGCGAAAAATACATCTTATAAAGAGGGGAAAATCCAATCCTAATGGGGTTATAAGCACATTGTCATAACGGAAGACTGAAAAGACCTTTGATAAGTAACATTACATAAGTACAGAAGCGGATCTAGAGGGGGGGTTGGGGGGGTTGCAACCCCCCCAAAAAAAAAATCTGGGGACCATTTTTTTAAATCTTATCTTTTTTTTTAAACTTGTAATTTTATTTTATTCTATTTCTATGTATTTATTTCATTTATTATTATTATTATTATTATTATTATTATTATTATTATTATTATTATTATTATTATTATTATTATTATTATTATTATTATTATTATTTCTTTTTGGGGGAGGGGGGGGGGGGTTGGGCGAACAAATGTCACAGAGTCCCTTGCCCCCCCCCCCCCCCCCCCCCCCCATCAGCTTTTTTGAGGACACGGGCCACCGCCGAAGTGACAAGCTAGGCCAGCGTTGCCGATTCTCATCCCCAAAATCCCCACATTAAAAAAAAAAAAAAAATTGGGGGATTGTTGAAGTCTTTGGGGATGAAAAATAAATATTTGGGAATGAAAATAATATTGAGTTTTATGAAAAACGAATTTGGGGATTTTCTGTCAAAATTTGGCAACTTTGGGGATATTTTAAGTGTCGTTTGGGTGGGGATTTTGTGAAGATTTAACCTGGCAACGCACGCTGAGCTGGGCTGCTCATTTCCTGGATTACTTGTTCAAGTTGCTCACTTTTTTATCAGTCTGGTCTGAGTGTAGTGACAAGCAATATGGAAGCAAACAGGGCAAAGAAGTTGCGGCAATCCAGTCTCGCATCTTTTTTTACAGCTTTTTATGGTCTCCATTGTGTTAATAGATGCCAGGAAAACATCACTTACGGGGTTCAAATAAACACCCCCCCAAAAAAATCGGCTCGCCGCTTCGCGGCTCGTGGACGATGCTCCGCATCGTCATTATTTTGGTCAACCCCCCCCCCTTTAGCAAAAAGCTAGATCCGCCCCTGAAGTATATCATCTATAGATAAGTAACAAAAGTATATCATCCATAGATAGATGCGTGCGAGCGTAGCGAACGAGCTTTGGGGGAAGTCGCTTGAAATTAGCTAGGGCGCGCTTAATGATGAGAGGAAAAGGAGACACTTATCATAAAAGAAAAGGAGCATGTGCCAAAGTACAAAGAGTAATTATTAGAGGTGAAAATGGGGTACTTCTTACACCCTTAAAAAGAGGCACTCACCAGGGATGAAAAAAGTCAGTCATAAGAATAGGAAATGAGCATTTGTCGACGGAAAAGGGGCACCCATCATATTTTGATTTTATATTTAAGCATTTATAAGATATTATCATTTATTGTTAAAAGAGGTGAAAAGAGGTGAAAAGAGGCATTTATCGCACCTGAAAAGGGGCAATGACCAGATATGAAAAGGGGCACTTTTGTAATTGAAAAAGGGGCACTTGTAATAAAGAAAAATGTGCATTAGTTACAAGAAAATGGGCACCGATCAGCTTTTAAAGGGGCATTTATCGGAGGTGAAGGGGGCACTTATCTGAAGTGACAAGGAGTAACTTCTCGTACCTGAAAAGGGTCATTTACCAGAGAAGGGGCACTTATGAGAAGGGAAAGGGGCTCTTTTTTAATGGGGTACCTATCATTAGGAAAAGGGGCACTTAATAGGAATGAAAAAGGGCACATGTAAAAATATATGGTGAGCTTATCCGAGTTAAAATGGGGGGGGGCACTTCTTACAAAGAAAAAGGGGCACTTGTCAAAGTAAAAGAGGCACGTACCTCTCAGATTTAAATAGGACAATTTTCAGAGGTGAAGGGGGCACTTATCAAAAGTGAAGAGAGGTACTTCTCGTACCTAACTAGGGGCACTTACTAGAGATTTAAAAGGGCACTTATTGCAAAGGAAAATGGGAACTTGTAGAAGGAAAAGGGGCATGTGTCCAAATAAAAGGGGCACTTTTCAGAGTTAAAAAGAGAAAGGGGCACTTTTCGGGTGCGGGAGTGCAGCCTCAGCCACCCGTTGATCCCCAATGGTCCCTAGGTTTTTCTTATGTCAATTGAGAGCTGATTTGATGAGATAACCACCTGCCAGCGACAACGCAGGGAGGTCTAATCCCTCCTGGCCCAACTAGTGCAGATGGGCTGTTAAGCTAAAGTTTTTAGAGTTCTTCATTCAAGAATCATTTTCTCCCTTGCCAAAGTTTTTTTTCTGTTCCTGTTTTAACGATACGGAAGATTCGAATAATTCACGAATGAATTTTTAAAGGAATTTAAAGCTAGTCTTCTTTCTTTCTGAAACTGACTATTACATATTAGTTTCTCTCCCATTATGAAAAAAAAAATCATGATGTGATTCATCCAGTTGACACCCAAATTTGTGAACCCACTTTGGTTTGCCAAACCGAACCAAAATTAATGAATTCATTAAAAAAAAATAGGGATCATATGGGTGAATATATTTTGCAAGGGTGTATTTGTTTCTGAAAAGGAGGAAGGGAGAGGGGGGTTGGGTGTATAGATCTAAAACGATCTATATTATGAAAGGAATTAAGTTGTAGGCCTATTGGAGACTCTTGGAGTGGGCTAATCGTTGGCAAATGCAATTCAACGCCAAAAAATGCTACTCAATGCGAATTCACAGAAAGAGGCATCCCATAATGCACACTTATACTATGAGGGGAGATGATCTTCTAGGTGTGGCCAGCAAAGCATATCTTGGAATCGAGCTACATGAGCGTCTAAGTTGGAAATCGCATGTAGATGCGGTCACAAACAAGGCCTCGAGGACCCTTGGATTCATTCGGAGGAATCTCGGAAGACAATGTCCAACAGAAGTGAAAAAACTGGCATACATCTCTCTCGTACGATCCCAGCTAGAGTATGCTTCGGTAGTATGGGACCCCAATAAGCGGAATCAAATAGACCAACTCGAGAAGGTCCAAAGACGTGCACTTCGTTTCATTTGTGGAAACTACCAGCGTGATGCCAGTGTAACATCCATGCGAGAACAACTTAATCTCCCAACACTTGAAGAAAGAAGAAAACGGGCACGTTTGTCAATGTTCTACAAGATAGCAAATAACAAAATTGCGATACCAATACCGGAGTACATCAAACCGAGGCAGCGCACTACAAGGAGGAGTCAACAACAACGATATATGAGACTAGGCTCTTCAATGGACTCTTACAAATTTAGTTATTTCCCCAGGACACTTAAGGACTGGGACGAGCTACCTCAAATCATCGTTGAACTGCCCTCTTTGGAGCAGTTCAAGGTGGCTCTTGAAACAATTTAGTTCCTTTTTCAGGAACTGTACCGCATAGAGCTGTATAATTATACAACTCTATGCTTTATCCTCATCTAGATGCTGAACAGGCGTTGATGAGTATCACCATAGAAGTAGAAGTAGAAGTATTCATAGTCAAGGTACACAAATATCAACGAACTCTTTTCCCAGATGATGATGATGGTAGTCCGAATGAAAGAAATCCTAGACTTATCGAGGGATTATATCGCGCCCATTGCAAACAGCAACATTGCGCCCATGCCTAAATTTCTCAGATTTAAAATTCATATTTCCTCCGTTTTTACTTCATGGAAGTAATATTTAATGTAATTGACCAGAGCTACATAGGTATACAAAGTATGGCACGGGAGCACAGGGACCCCTAAGAAATTTCGTAGGTATTTTTACATACATTTTTCCTTCAATGAAAATAGCAATCCTGAACAATTACGAATCGTTCAAATTTTCAACATAGAAAAACCTTATTTGGCTTAATTAATCCAACATCCAAGGCGTAAATTCAACGACTTATATTTGTTGGAGTTGACTGCAGCTGCATGAGCCATATATAGGCCTTTTATATATATATATATATATTTATATATTTCGAATGTTGAACCTTGCACTTTTTATTGTCTTCAAGAGGGCGCAAAACTTAGCAGTAAAATGATATGCTTCTTTTTCTTTTGTACGTCTTCTTCACAGGGTGGTATTATAGCTATAGCGTCTGGGGGGGGGGGGGGGGCTCAGTTGTCCCACCTTAATTTCTCAGGAAAGAGATTACAAACAAAAGCCTAGGAAGAGATAGATTTGTCTATAGGCCCCTGGGATATATATCAAAGACAAAATGATGAGAGATGCTCAGTGAGAAGTTTCATTGAAGTTTTGCACAAGTCTATTGAGAAAACATAAAATAAACGCTCAAACATATCTAGAATGTCGAATTGTCGATACAGATTCTAGTTAGTTTGTTTTTATTTTTTATTATATTTTATGTTTGTTAAATGTTATTACCGGGAAGTAAGCACTTTGCGAAAAATGTCCAAAGCTGAAGTGGGTACATGCCCACCGCCTACACCATATATTACACAAATTGCCCTTTTAATTTTCGCTGCTACCCAATAACATCCTTTTTGTATGGGCGTCTGTTGCTTTATACGCACATGAATTTAATCATGATCTCAGCGTGCGGAGCTAGCGTAGGTTGAAAGACCCCAGAATAATCTTCTATAAACAATGGCTCTGTAACTGAAACTTCCGTAAGTATCAAGTAATTCGAGAAATTGTGTGTATTTAGTAGTAGAATTCCTAAATCACTATTAACGCTTTTTCTACGGATTTCCTTGATGAGGAAACGTAAAATGTGTCCTAAGACCCTTTATGATACATATCTTTATCCCCCTTTCCCCTCAGTGACGGCTTGACTCTGGTTCTCGGTGTTGATAAACAACCAGCGCACAGCTCAGGGACGCGACGCCGTGTGTAGCCGGCTGATTTGACTTCATATACAGCTGTGCATCTGCACCGGCTTGTGTGTGTGCACGAGAGCGACAAAGACGTTCGAGCAATTATCGGGGGCCATTTTTGCTATAAATTAAGATTTCGTCTGATTTGAAAATGTCAGGCGTTGAGCTGAAGCCTATCAACGATGCAGGTGGATCAAACATTCTTCTTCCGTTGGGAAAAACGAACTTAGGAAGGGGCTCTTTCTTTGAGGTGAGCATCAATTTCTCATTTTTGGCTCATTGACAAATATTTTCAGTGTGCGGTACCTGCGAAACTGTGTATCCCATATGGTCTAGTGGTTAGGATTCGGCGCTCTCACCGCCGCGGCCCGGGTTCGATTCCCGGTGTGGGAACATTCTCTTTTTTTTAAAGTCCTTCTTTTAGATAGTTTTTATGTAGGGGGTATGTTACTCTGCACTTTTGTACATAAGATCACCTATGTCTTTAATATTCAACGGAATTTCCCTATTATTATTTTTTTTAAACAGATACAAGACACCTCAAAAATTAAAATGGCAATTGCATTTTCCTTCAAAGTTCAAGTTCAAACTAGGCATTGAATCAAAGTTGGCACAATGTCAAGGGTAGACCCAATTGAGGACTGGACGCACAAAACTTTTCAAGGTCACTTGCTTGTATTATGAGACAGCATCTAGGCAACATTTTGTGAATTTTGGAATATCATAAGCCATAACAATTTCATATTCATATCATGACACTTCAACTAATTGTTATTTGTGCAAATGTTTACGTTTTTCCTTGCGTCGGCCTATAAACAATAAATACGCACACGTAAAACCTCAGAATGTATGCAAGCTCAAATTTTGTTAAAAATGGTGGAAAACAATAAAAAATTACCAAATTTGAATCCGCTATACATGCAGCTCCTTAGAATTTCTTTATTGCATATTCTGAGAGAACTTGAGGTGATTTCAATCATGCATCATTTTTTGCTTACCGGTAACAGACCTTTATATGATGATATGAAGATTTTATATTTTTAATTAAGGATGTCATATTCTCAATGTTCTTGTGACAGTGTCTCGCCTGTTTCAGTTAATTTTCTTCCAGTTGATTTTCTTCCAAAAATGTATCTTTTATATAGCTAAGATTTTGTGCTACAAGAAATGTAACAGTTTCTTTTCATTTAGACTATTGGGTCATTAGTCAAATTATAGAATTAAAAAGTACAAGTCGAAATTTGCCTCAGCACAGTGTTTTCCCCCTTAATTGGACAAAGGAAGCTTAACTATTTGCATTTCTAGATTCTGATCATGAAAACAAATGCATTTATTCTTGGCACTAAATCAAACATGTAGAATGACATAACATCCGACACTAGCTACTCTAATATTATTGTTCCAATTATGACTAGTTTTCATTTGATTCTCTCAAAAATTGGTTTATAATCTTTAATAGCTCTTCTGCTTTCCAAAAATACCTCACACACAAAATGTTCTGTTCACTACCAGTCATGAGCTAGCTAAATACAATGTACTACTACTGGTATACCATACTAGTACATGTCTGTGATATCACTAATTGCTATGCCGACTGATTGCTATGTCGAATGATTGCAATGCTGACTTATGAAGCAATTTCCAACCTGAAGATGAAATCTGAGAGTAAAACAACCATATCCATTTCTACAGCATGTAATGCTCTATCCAATGAAGCTAATGGTCTTTAAGCATCTTGCAAAAAGAAGCTAATCCCTCTTTGTCTAAGATGATATCACAGACATATTGGCATTTCTTTACCTACACTGTATGACCCCCAGTTGCATTCATAACTATTCTATGGAACAAAGATTGATGTGCTACAAGTACATGTACAGTAGGTACTACAAACGAAGGGTTAATATTGTTATGAAATCATGACAGTCAACGCAATGGCACAAACAACAGTACTTCTATTCTTCAATGAGGATTTGCCACCACAGGTTACATGTATAGTCTTTAGTTCATTTATCTTCCAGACTTTGGCCGTAATGACCTCACTTACTCCCATATATATAATTGATAGTTAAAATGTTAATCTTGTAATGTAGTTCATACTTTGAAGAAAAAGGTAGATGCCATCAAAGATTCTGTGATGAGGGTAAAACAAAATCAGTTTGAATGTTTGACTTTAATACCGGTAGTCTACATGTGTAAGTTAACTTAAAATTTAATGAACCTGAAATCTAATGTTAAATTTTACGACTCAGACCTAATCCTTATTTTGTTGTATTCTCATCTGATCATAGCAATTACAAAAAGATTTATATTTACTGGTACGGCGTCACAACTGGGTAAATTTGTGATCTAGTTAAAACTCTCTAATCATCTCACAGGAAGATCTACACAATAAACAAATAATTCAAATTCTGTTAAGTGTATCAAAGAATATCATCTTCTTATCTTTATTACTTTACTTCTTATCACAATGGAAATGCATATAAAGATATAAAGAATATATTGATCCCAACTCTGAGGTTGTATTCTTAGCTGTCACAGAGTAACACATTTGTACAGAGTATTGACACTAAAATGTTTGTAGGTTTATCATTTTAAAGTCTGGAGATATAAACAAAATGACCCACTTTAGTGATGCAATCACTCTCAAGATGTGATATTAAAATATTGTTCATGGGAATGAAGAAAGTTGTTACTGTTGCTGAAACTTTAGTTGTCCACCATGACGAAGGTGTTGTTGCTCACATACTGCATCTGGTAGCACCTTCAACTCTCCTTAGTGGTTTCTGGTAGGGATCCACCCATTGTAGCTTGATACTTTGCCAGAGGACTTGTTATGTAGGTCCTAGCCGGAACACCATCTAACATTAAACATTAACCCAAGCTATAAATAGTCTATGGAATAACACCAAATTATTAATCTTTTGACGAGAACTATAATTATCATCGGTCAATGCAATAAAATACATAACAGAAAAGATGGCTTCTATCATACATGTAAGAATTACATTGCATTCAAATATCCTTCCAAACTTCGAAAGAGTCTGAATTAATGAGTTAATATCCTATGAACATGTACATCATTCATAAATGAAAAAAATAGTGCATAACGAGTGACATTAATTACTATAAAGATATGATTCACAGTCTTCATTCTTTATCTCTAATTCAAAGGTTCACCTGTGACCTTGACTTTCTAAATGACAAATGAACACGCCTAATTTATTATTAGGATAAGGAATACAAATATGGATTCAACTTACAGTTTGACTTGGTTGACTAAATGTAGGGAATCGCAGCAGGCCTCAATGTCGGTTCTGGTGATCTTGACACTCCATGGAACTTAGACTTGCAGCGCAAAATGCCATGTTTTAGAGCTATGAAACAACTTTCATTCACCTCCAACCCATAGGTCCTGCCTGTATGACTTATGTGCAGATAGTGACACTACACTGCTAGGTAAGGCAACCCACCCACTATGATTACCTGTTGGAGCTGTGTAGAGTGCAATGAAGCCTAACTACCCAATGCATTCACCCCAATTCTTTAATCTACATAACAAATAAGCGGGTAGCATTGATGGGAAAGGTTGAATCCTAACATCCGGTATACACTTTAATATGGCATTGACTGTTCATATTTGTAAGGATAATAATAAATAAGTATTACTTTACGTATGATTCTTCATGTAGCGTATGATTTATGTTTTACATTGACAGATTGCAGATAAACGTGTTTCCAGAAATCATGCCGTTCTTGAAGTGGAAGATGGGAAAATCAGAGTCATGCCTGTAAGTTGGACTACATGTATATAACTATTTGCTTGCACAAATAATACCACAGTTCTGTGCTTAAATGTTATATTAATTATTAAGAAATGTGTACATGAAGTTAACGAGAAAGTTAAATAGAAAAACAAAATAAAACTGTTTGAGATTTTTCTTCTTCTTTTTCTTTTGGGGATGGGGAAGGGGTTGAGTTTATAAGTGAACAAGCATGATAGATTGGGGAAAAGATTGACAGTTTCAGAGGATGAAATGTCAGATTACTCATGTATGTGTAATTTTTTTCAAACATAAATGATGCCATGTAAAATTGTGAATGAAACTTTGTACCTGCAGATTCATACCAACCCCACATTCTTCCACGGTGCAGGAGGCACCAAGTTGGCACCCTTAACCAAGGATGTATGGCAAGACCTCAAGATTGGAGATCGCATTGCTCTCACGCCTGATGAACACATCTTTGAAGTGGTTATTGATGACAGACCTATAGTACAAGAGACCCAAAATCCTAGGTGAGAATAGCATGGCATTTCTGTCAGAGATTATATTATACTGCATTTGATGATTAAAATTCACATGAAGTTGTCAACACACATTAAGAAATGTTATTGGAAATTTGGAATGTATTGAATATACAAGTTTATAAATAAGCATTTGCTTCATGTTAGTATCCAAACTTTCCAAATGTCATTTAACGGATCACCGAAGAGCCGGTCTTTTCTGGATACTAACAGGAGTTATACAAACCATCATCAAGGCTCTTTAGGTTTTACACGTATTGGTCACATGTGCCAATTTACAACCTGGAAAGAAACAGTGTATATATTCCAATTTTTACCCCTCTATTTGGTTGTTGTTGGGGGGAGGGGGGGAGGGGGAAGGGGTGGCTTACAAAACTGTAAATAGACTTAAAAATGAATGGGACATTTCTTAATGCCTTGGATAGATATTCTTCTTATCTTAGATTCTTTGGAAATTATTAATTGGTTTTACTTTGATCCAAATTCCAAAATCGTTATCAGTTGATGCTTTCTTTTTTTTCAGACTTTCTGCTGAAGGAGTCTCCCCCATGAAGCAAACTTCACCATTCAAGCAGACTACATCACCCTCATCGCATCGCAACAATGGAGTGGAAAATGGCCAGTCTAAAGGTTCGTTCAGGCTTAATCTATTTTCTTGTGAGCTTAATGCATAAACTTTGTGTTATTACCTGATGTGCCTTGATCACACAATCCACAGTCAGTGTAAAATAAGCAAGAGGTCTTGAAATAATGTTCACTAGTTGATAAATCCTAAATATATAATTTACACATTTGTATTAAAATGCATTAGTGAATATGCATTGCACATAGGTTAAGTCACAATCGAATACTGTACAAGACTTGTTAAGGGCATAATTAGGCTCGCTGTGACTTAACCGAATGTAGTGTATATCACTATTGCACAAGCTTCAAAACATGAATCATTTTTTCAATAAAATGGGTCTACAATTTGAATATAACGTCAAGATATCCGCAACAAAATGCCAAGAGTCATACATTCATGGAAACTGCTTTTATTGAGTGACATCATAAGCACAGCCAAACATTACTATGTGAATCTCAGTGTGTGTATCAACGTCCTTGCCATTTGGAACCATGTGCACTTCATCACATTAAAATATTCTATGCGCAAGAGATATGCAAATGCAACCATGACCATAACAGTAACCCTTTTATCTTTGAAGAAATAAAACCCATTGCAAATATAAGCAAAACCCAGAGCAAATGTATTCAAACCTTAGAGCAAGTGTACCGGTAGGCAAAATCCAGAAAAAATGTCCCTTGGGCAAGTGTTGTGTCACCATTAAGAGACAAACATGATGATGAATCTTACCTTCCCACTTATCATAAAGGATTATTAAGATGTGCAGTTCCTTGTAAGAAGTGATTACACATTCTGTTAGTATGCTGAGGTCATGTAAAATGGTGTTGTATAATTTTTGTCATGTAAAATGGTGTTGTATAATTTTTGTCTTCCTTTATTGCGTTAGAAGAGGATAATGGTGGTGTCAAAGAGAAATCAACCGAAAAAGAAGGAGAAAGTTCACCTGCTACATCAATTGAAGGCGATGATACCAGAGATTCTACCACAGATGGTAAAAATACTACTGTAGAAAAAGATAAATCCAGCTCAAAGGTGGAGGAAACAGAGGAACCAGATAAACAAGAGGAAGGGGAATCTAAACATGATGATAAATCAAACAAGGTGATTATGTCTGCTTACTTTCACACTTTCATAGCATTGTATTGCATTCCTTCTTTTTATTTTCATGCACATGCTCTGAAATAAGTCCACTGATAATCAAAGAAATAGTGTATTTTCAATATTTGTTTTAATTACCTGTAAAGTGTTTTCTTGTTTGTTTGATTGTTTTGACTTTTTTTTTTGTTATGCCTCCGCCACCGAAGGTGGTGCCGGAGGCATCTTGTTTTCGGGTTGTCCGTCCGTACGTCCGTCCCGTTTGACCGTTATCACAATATCTCAAGAACCATTTAAGATTTAAACTTAAGACTCGGGAATAGTATTTATCACCATAGGAAAACGATCTGATTAGATTTTGGAGTACGTAGGTCAAAGGTCACAGGTCACAGAGGTCAACTTATGAAATTCCTTGTATTGAGTTTGTTAGCGCGATATCTCAAGAACCATTTGAGATTTAAACTTCAAACTTAAGGATAGTATGTATCACCATAGGAAGACGATCTGATTAGATTTTGGAGCACGTATGTCAAAGGTCAAGGGTCACAGAGGTCAACTTATGAAATTCCATACATTGAGATTGTTATCATGATATCTCAAGAACCACTGGAGATTTAAACTTCAAACTTAGTGATAGTGTGTATCACTATAGGAAAACAATCTGATTACATTTTGGAGCACGTAGGTCAAAGGTCAAGGGTCATAGAGGTCAACTTATGAAATTCCTTGTATTGAGTTTGTTAGCGCGATATCTCCAGAACCATTTGAGATTAAAACTTCAAACTTAAGGATAGTATGTATCACCATAGGAAGACGATCTGATTAGATTTTGGAGCACGTATGTCAAAGGTCACAGGTCACAGAGGTCAACTTATGAAATTCCTTGTATTGAGTTTGTTAGCGCGATATCTCAAGAACCATTTGAGATTTAAACTTCAAACTTAAGGATAGTATGTATCACCATAGGAAGACGATCTGATTAGATTTTGGAGCACGTATGTCAAAGGTCAAGGGTCACAGAGGTCAACTTATGAAATTCCATATATTGAGATTGTTATCATGATATCTCAAGAACCACTGGAGATTTAAACTTCAAACTTAGTGATAGTGTGTATCACTATAGGAAAACAATCTGATTACATTTTGGAGCACGTAGGTCAAAGGTCAAGGGTCATAGAGGTCAACTTATGAAATTCCATACATTGAGATTGTTATCATGATATCTCAAGAACCACTGGAGATGTAAAAACTTCAAACTTAAGGATAGTATGTATCACCATAGGAAGACGATCTGATTAGATTTTGGAGCACGTAGGTCAAAGGTCAAGGGTCACAGAGGTCAACTTATGAAATTCCATACATTGAGATTGTTATCATAATATCTCAAGAACCACTGGAGATTTAAACTTCAAACTTAATGATAGTGTGTATCACCATAGGAAGACAATCTGATTACATTTTGGAGCACGTAGGTCAAAGGTCAAGGGTCACAGAGGTCAACTTATGAAATTCCATACATTGAGATCGTTATCGCGATATCTCAAGAACCACTGGAGAATTTTCACTTCAAACTTAATGATAGTATGTATCACCATATCATAATATCTCAAGAACCACTGGAGATTTAAACTTCAAACTTAATGATAGTGTGTATCACCATAGGAAGACAATCTGATTAGATTTTGGAGCACGTAGGTCAAAGGTCAAGGGTCACAGAGGTCAACTTATGAAATTCCATACATTGAGATTGTCATCATGATATCTCAAGAACCACTGGAGATTTAAACTCCAAACTTGTTTAAATTGCTCTATGGCGGAGGCATCATTTTCGACTGCGCGCAGTCAAAATTCCATCTAGTTTTTTTTTCATTCATTATTTTTGTAGGGACAAGTTTTGTAATGTTCTTTTGGGAAGGAAGTGTTTTTGTGAAGTGATTTTGATGGCTAACCTTTATGTAGATCATTGTGATAGATGAAATACTGGCCCAAATAGAGATCACCTCTATATTCTTTTCTTGAAGATGCAAAGCATGTGTGGATGGTTATCTTGTTATAACCCAAGCTGCAGAAATACTTGTTTTGTCTTCCTCCCATTGTATTAAACTTGCCATGCTAACACTCGTCTCTATGTGTCCTTAGGGACCTGGCACGGTGGTGCTTGGCGATACTGAGATAGCACTTCCAGTGCAGAAAGAGAGGACACTCCCAGCCTGGATGGCCGCTCCTCCCAAAGCAGAAGCAAAACGTGCAACCACCACAGGGACCCCAGCCAAGAAAGGTGAGGGCATCAATCAATCAGTGCTGTATGATGTGCTTTTCACTTAGTGCTGTAGCCGAACCGCCAAACCGAATGGAAGTTCGGCGAACATGGCACTTCCAAACCGAACCGAACGCAAAGGCCTGGTTCGGATGTTCGGCAGAAAAATGTAAACGTTTTTGCAAGCTAATAAACTTGTCGTTTTGTACCTAATTTTCATGTCATGATTGCTCATTTTATATTTACTTTTTTTCCATTTTCCGCCTTTGTGATTTATGCCTATCCAGTGGTGGGCGCGACTTCACTGGCGCCATTTAAATCTCAAATCTTGACTACGCTACGTCGCGATCGGAAGCCATAAACAAGAATACATGTGCGTGATCAAAGCACAAGTTCAGCTCAAACCCATTCAACAAAAAATTAATGTTTTAATTTTAACAATATCGGACAAATTTTACAATATAAATAATGAAATAAATATATATTATAGTATGGTATTTATTTATTCAGGAAAAATAGGGATTTTATATTTTTCTTATTAAAAATAAAAACTTATAAAAAACAGTTATTGACGAGCCTGAGTCTTTATTCAAGATGGCAGATTTCACGGGTGGTATTCTCATAAGTTAAGCCGGGACTAAGTCCAGACTAAACAAGAATTTTAGTTTACACTTCTATGGAATGCTAGGTTTCACCTTCCTCCTTCAATTTTCATGATAAAGATAATCTACCAAAGACTTTGTTGAAATTCACTTCATACTCATAATATCTTTTTCATCCCATTTCATTGCAAAATTAATTTTTTGGACACTTTTCATTGAAGGATTAAAATAATCTGTACAGGGTAAATTAGTTTGCAACAGGCACTCCATAAAAATATGAACTAACTAAGTATGCGCTAACTTAGTACGCACTACCGGAATACCACCCCATGACTCTAACATTAGACAACAACCGTCTCGGAAAATCTTTAAAAAGTATCATTTATTGACAAATTGAAAACATGAATCTTTTAAAATTGAAAATAAAACACGATTCAAGATATTTATTTTTCTTCACAAATAATTACTTTTAGAGCAGTTTTTTAATGTGAAATTCGTGCTGGTCGGAAGCAGTGTGCAGAAGTCCTCCGTGCTGGTCGGGCCCGGCAGGCCGGCCGGCCCGCCCAGTGCCGACTGCCGTGGCTATAACGCTGCTTGCTATTATATTACCGAATCCCGAACCGAACCAAGTTCGGGTGAAAAATTGCCGAACCCTGCCGAACCCTGCCGAACCGAACCGAACACGAACATAGCGTCTGACTTACAGCACTATTTTCACTTTAGTATTTAATATAGTGCATTAAATCTATTTAATTGCCATACGCATACGAACTGTATATATGAGGCTCTATATTCATCAAGTTGTGATAATAGCGGAAGTAATTTAGAAATTATGTCAGTAAAGTGATAAAATCAGAAATTGAGGGATATAGCCATTTGAAAGCTACAGTTTTTGTGTGAAGCAATATGCCAACAATGACAAAAGATGCAGGATTTTTTCAACTCCTTGATTACTGTAATAATTTAGTAATAATGCTACGTACTTTCCGTTCTTTAGTTGTATTTACTATTGTAATGTTGATTTCTATGATGAGTACATTATGTGGCTTGATGTATATTTGATACAGTTTTTTGTATCTGTTTGAATTAAGATATTATGCATCAAGATTTATATTTCTGAAAGAAGATATATTGAAATGCACCTATACTGAATTGCAATCTGGGTTCTGTGTCCATTATCTCTGATAAAGCATCCCATAATGAAGACACTGCCACACCACAGAAAAGAGGACGAGGAAGGCCTGCTGGTGGTACAAAAGCTACACCTCAAGCCAAGAAGACACCTACCCAGGCTAAAGCACGGGCAAGAAAATATGTGGATGATGACGATGAAGACTACCTGTCTGAAGACGATAAGCCTGCCCCCAAGAAAGCCAAAACCTCGAGATCTCAGAGGGGGTCTGCTAAGGTAGCGTCGTACGCTGAGGATGAATATGATGCCTTGGATGAAGAGTGGATCGCATCTGATGTGGACGATGATGGCAGCGATTGGGAGATGGAATCACAGTCACAATCACATAAAAAGGGCAAGGTCAGGATTCAACGTTGAGAGATTGTGCTGATTTAGTTGTGCAGAGTTGTAAATGTATGCTTGGAAAATGAAGTTTAGTCTATACATATTGATCTGCATATAGAATTGAGGGTGTGCTGCAAGCTCGATAATGGTTCAAGATGTATTGTAAATTGAGTTTGATATTCCTTACCATATTTCTACTTTTTATGGTTATAGCCTACAGTGTAGATTACCTATTGGGATGCAAAAATCATGAAACTTATATTTGCATGACACACGTCCCCACTCCCCCCCCCCCCCAATTAAGATGTAAACATTTCCAAAATGAAAATGAATATTATATAGATAAATATTGTGTCCTATATTTTAACTTACCAGGGGGGTGTTTCACAAAGATCTTAAGTTGAACTTATCTCTAAGTTTGACTTATCAATTATGGAAAGCTGTTAGCATCTATACAAATGTTTTGTAAAAGTTATTTTAAAAGGCTTAAAATGTTAATTCATGATTTCTATTATCAAGGAGATTTCATGGTCTTGATATGGAATTTATAAAAAGTAAACAATATTTGAATTTTCACTATTGAAGATATTTTATTTTAAGGCTACAAGTGGCTCTCCATAATTTTTAAGTCCAACTTAGAGATAAGTTCACCTTAGGATCTTTGTGAAACACCCCCCAGACCTGCTGTTTTGTTTCAAGAATATTATCAAGTGACATACAAGTTGAATCAACAAGATAAACAGCTTCTATGTATGGGAAAGGGGGGGGGGGGGGGGGTAGCCAGAGAGCCATAGAAAAATCATAGAAGTGCTTTAAAAAAAAAAAATTATTCATTTATCCTGATTGTAAGCTGTATAAGGGGCATCATAACTGTTTCATTAAGGACTATCCATAAAGTCAAGACTTGTCTATGTGATATTCTATGTAGATGATATATATATATATATATGTATATTCTCGATGACATATCAAATCATACTTTATTTATCAAATTTGTAGGGCAAGGGAAAATCTCCAAAAGGTAAATTTGTGAGTCCCAGAAAGCGGGGGAGACGCAAGAAGTATGCACAATCTAGTGAAGAAGAGGAATGGAGCGAGGAAGAAGCCTACGTGCCCCGCCCTTCCAAACGTCGAGCATCCTCAACCTCCAACTCACAACCTACAGGACAAGCGAAGAGAGGAAGAAAGGCCCGACAAGACAGTGATTCTAGTGAGGATGAGGAGGAGTATGTACCAAAACAAACCAAAAGGACTCCTGCAAAAGCTCCTGCAAAAGCTCCTGCAAAAGCTCCTGCAAAAGCGAAAAAGGATTCTGGTGGGAATAAAAAACATGATGTGAGTAGCGATGAAGATGATGATGATGATGAAGCACCGAAGAAGAAACCAGAGAAAACAAAGAAGCCCAAATCTTGCCAGTTTGGAAAACGCTGTTACAGGTATGTCTAAGTGATTTTCAATAATTGCAAGTACATGTATATATCCTATGTTTTCATTTTATCTATCATTTCTTTTTACTTCAGACATGTATGCAATTAAATTTTCTATTATTTCTATATAAATTAGAAAATTCTTAGAATGATTACAATAGAGAGCTATAAGCTCTGCTCAGACATTTATACACTTGATTCATCAGTCAGCAGCAAATGACTACAAGTACTCTATTTTTACAATTTGCACATAATAATTGATATAACAATGTTTTTTTTCCAATTTAATGGAAGGTAATATGATAATTTTGATTTTTTTTTTTCTCCAGAAAAAGTGCCGCTCACATTGCAGAGTATTGCCATCCAGGAGATCCGGACTACCGATCAGATGGAGATGAAGGAGATGAAGAAGATGATTATGACAGGCCTGAGTGTGAATATGGAACATCTTGCTATAGGTAACTCAATCAAATTAAAATTATCTCTGTAGTCGACCATATAGGCCAAGCAGAATATCAAGACATTCATTATGTGTGACTGTTTAACTATAAATCCAATACCAATCCAACCCAAAGCACTTACATAACATTGGCTCTTTAGAGAGGTCGTAAGAAACTGAATATGGCATACAATCTATGATTCACTAAACCATCGGTTGTAGCCATGTATTCCTGAAACAGAGTTAAGATTAGCCTTCTAATTCCAGAATTGCTTAAGAAGTCTGCATGTTAGAGATACATGACCACATGACTGGCTCATTGTCTTCCATTATTGTTATTTTGTAGTAAAAACTTTTGTATTCAGGTAGCCAGGGTATATCTGTAAGTGCTGGGGTGAGCAGTCAAATTTATTTCCCTGAATAATACATGCTGGTATCAGACTAACCTCAATAATATTCTACAATATGTAGGATGATCGTATATGGTTCCTTCTATTATCGACCAATTCATTATACATTATGTTGGTGATACCTCAGCCGGTTACTTTTGTTCTTCATTTATAATAATATGTGATATACCTCTGGAGTGACCATCATAATTTACATCATTTTCATTTATTTCCTTTGTAGGAAAAGTGATGAACACAAGACATTTTATAAGCACACTAAGCCACCACCCAGACCCAAGAGAGAGGCAGCCCAAAAAGGTAAACTCTTTTGATCAAAGCAGTTTTCTAAATACTTTGAGATATTAATAGAGAAATGGAGACTGCAGCAAGTACATGTGTGTGATATCTTCCTACATTGTTTAAATAATGAAAGTAGTGTACAAATACAGAGAGAAATGCAAAGTATCAGTAATAGGATAAAAGGGAATACCTTCCCTATATCAACTTTTTTGGAGCCACCAAGTTTTCAAACATGTATCATGATGAAGATTTCATTTGACAAATTAGAAATCTTGTGTTTGTTTTGCCTTTTCTATAAGAATAATGCTTTACGATACCAATCTTAACAATGTTTTAATTTCAAGAAGAAAATTAACTTTTCCGAAGTCCATAAGTGATAGATAATATATATTGGAAACAGGGTGGTTAAAGTTATCCATGGCACTGCAAATTTAACATTCAGTGTAGGAATATTTTGAATTCAAGTATATCAGAGTATATTTGAAATAAATATATCAGGATTAGCATTCTTTCTTCATTTTTTTTACTACCAATCTCAGTCTTGAAGACGGCAGGATTCAGCGACGATGAAGAGGATGATGATGAACCCAACACGTACGACCGCACTGATAGTTTCTTGAACGATGATGTCTCGGACTCAGCCTCTGTGCCTGCAAAGCAGTCTGATGATTCAGACTGGGATCCAACAGAGGGTAGTCAAGATTTGAGAGACCTTCAGAAAGATGCCAAGGAGTTTATGGGCAACAAGAAGATGCAGAAGACATAGACTTCTTCAATGACTACACCCGCCTGAGACATACAAATCAAATGCAGTTCTAATCTTAATTTAAAATGATATTTTCTCTAATTGAATTGCATTGACAATCAATAAAGAGTAATTGTTCTAGATATAATGGTAAATGGTTCGCACCGAATCCTATATATCTGTTTTGAAAATTAAAACGTGACACGTGATGATTTGATTTTTGACCTGGATTTATTCAAACTGGTACATGTATGCTTATGTTGTGTTCACATTCCAAATTCATTTAGAGGGGAAGCAAATTTGGATATTGGGATAGTCACCTCAAGATTACTAGTATGACTGGTACATACCAGCTTGTCTAAATTTTGAGGAAAAAAAAAAATTACATTGGTGAGTGATTTATGATTAATTATTAAATCGTTGATAATTTTGCATCAATTGTATTCATTCCTTTCTTGAACATCTGAGTCACCCATGATCAGATTTTGATGTATTCGGGATGTTTACTTCTGTTTTTGAGTGACTTGAGAAAACTATGAAGCAAACTGTATGATCCAATACCTTTGAATTGTCTGTACATTTATCTGAGCAATGGAAATGCAAAGGACAGTTGAAATCATGTAACAACAATAGTTACTGTAAATTAACAATGTGCTGTATTTTCTTTTTAAAACAAATATATTTTCTTGAATCTTGCAGATGTTGGCATGCATGTAGATTGTTTGAAGACTATACTACAATATTCTTAACTTCTGCATATTTTAGTATAACTGGTAAGTCAAAATGGAGTGGGTGCAACATTTAACATCTTATGAGTATTTTTTTAATTATTACTCATGAACACAATGAGATCCTAGTTGTGAGGTTTGTTAAGCTAATGTAGTGAGATAGTGTTCAATTTCTTGTTGTAAATGTAGGTGAATGATGATTTCTGCATGATAGTCTGTACATTTTTAGATCATAATTCTTGAGTGACATCTGGATTACCTTTAGATCTTTCCCTTGTCTATTCCTGTATGAGTAATGATTGATGTGAAATGAGTATTATCTTTCTTAGATTGATTTATTAAGTATTAAGTTTTTGTAACTTGCCAAATCCTGAGAATTCTGTAATTATTGAGTTTCCTTTGCTCTTGTTCAATAATTAGAACCTTTATCCTCTTAACCTTTTAAAATTTTGAAACAATGACTGTCACTTTTGAGTGAAGTGCAATAATGCCAGCAAGAAACATTGAATCTCATAATTGTAAAATGTAAATATAGTAGATGCATAAAGGTAAAGCAAATGAATTATTAATGTAATGTAATGTATGGTATTGTATGAAAAAATAATCTACAAATGATGGCCCTTCCTCATAACACATATATGTTAATCTTATCTCTGGTTCAAATTCCTTTTATTAACAAAAAAAGAAATAACCAATGCCAGTCTAAGAATAAGCCTTGATAATATATTTAAATTGAATTTTAATCGAAAAGAAATAGAATTATAGATTGCCCTTATGGGCGATTCAGTTCTCATATTTTAATAAGATATTCTACAAGAGGAAACTATGGCACATTGAATTTGACATTTTGCTGACATACCGATTAAGTTTTTCCGTCAGTAAATGTTTATTCTGTGCTTGTGTTAATGTGTTTTTGGTATGTAGGTATGTCATATTGTGGATCATGATGAATGTTGTATACTGTATTAGGTTAAGAACACATGTATTTCGGATGTTATTTTTTTATACTCTATTGTAATTATGCACCAGCTATTGAAATTTCGATTTGTGTAAGGAATGAGGCGATTAATCTGATAAGTGATTTATCTGTCTTTTGTATAATGTACAAAGGTTTAGTTCTGTGCCAGATACTGGTACCTCTGATCGTTGTGAAATGTCTGAAATATGGCTATGAGCATAGTAATTGCTTGGATACTTTGCAAATGGCATGCCTATCTTCTTTATTCGTAACGAACCTTTCTTCCCAAATTTATTTTATGTCTTCTCAAACGTGTCAGGATAAACTACATCTATTGATTTCTGAGGTAATGATGCACATTTATCACTTTAAATGTTGAATTCATGTCATATGAAACTTGTGTTTTTTATCACGGGCACTAGTGCAGTTAGTATGTTAACAGTGTTCACTGGATTACAGATATATTATCTTAATTTTTCTTGTGGCAATTACAAGAATTGTTCTACATACACTCAGCAAAAAAAAGTAACATTGGACACTATATATAATTAAGATATTTAAATAAATGTTTAATGTAAACTTATCTTTCATATAATTAAATGAACATAAATCATTCCTTTTTAAGACGATATGCAATTGGAATCGTACCATTCATACATGAGAGAGCTTAGCCATGTAACAATAAATGAGTCTCTAAAAGAAAATTGAAAAATGGGGCATCTGGCCATTAAAATGTTAAGCATTTCCATCTTATAGAGTCAACTTAAAACAATGTATCTCAAAAGTTTGCTGTTCCGAGACTTTTTTCTCATTAATTGATTTTGCAAGAATATTGTACAGATGCACTTTTAACACTTGAATGGTCACTTGCTCTGTTTTTGTAATTTTCTTAATCTCATTTTATTATATAGTTTAATAAAGTGCGTCCACCTTCTTTTTTTTTTGCCGAGTGTATTAGGACCCCAAGCAGTTACACGGATAAGACAAATTAGGCCCAATCTAAAATGAACGTGACCCATTTTGATTCACATAATTTCATTTGCAAAATGCGCTGGATGAATTGCCAACCACATGATAAACTTTGTCAGAAAATAAATGAAAAACTTTGTTTGTGTCAGTAAAAATTGATACGTTTATTCAGTGAGTTGCACTTGTAAAATGAAGTTGTATGGTTAGTTTTCACTTTCTCAACACTATATAATAGTGATGTATTGATGGCGCGATTTAATTCCAACCCCTAACAGAAGAAATAAAATTGAAATCAAAAGTTTTGTATGTATTATTACATTTTTTATTGTATTACATAAAAAAAGCATTGTAATTCACTGACAATAAAGATACATGTATTTTACAAGTTTTGACACTGTACATACGGGTCCATATCATGAATTCTTAAATGGATGTTTTTATTTTTTTAGCTTCCATTTCCCATAAATAGACCAGTTTACTATTTACACTGCAGGTATACTTAACAAAGTGTCCTCTTGACAATGATTGTAAGAGGTTCATTCACATAGCAACAACTAATTAAAGGTGATAAGAAGTCATTGGAGAAAATATCTGAACATTGAGTATATTACTAAACTGGTCTGTTATAAGCAATTTTATGTTTGCATGTTTGAAATACATGTAAGAGTAAACATAGAGTTACTAGCTGTACACAACCAGGTAAACTATTGTAGCCAAGTAATGCTGCTTCTTTCACATTTTATTGACATGTCAGATGTACTAAATGTATCCTTGATGCTCCATGCTTGAATTGAAATAAAATCACCCAAGTTTTATAACAGTATATTTTGGAATTTCACTACCTTCATTTTGATTGTCACAAATGCTTCAATTGAGAACACTGATGGCTAGTATTCTTGAGGTAGAGGTCTGAACCTGGACCCTAAAAAGAAAATATGTTTGGCGGCTATGGTGTTATGCACATTAACACTTAAAGGTCACATGTCCATAAAAAATGGCATATTAGTATTTGTTCATGTGTAAAATTGCATGAGGTTTGAGGGAATCCAATGTGATGCTACACATTTCCTTTCACATACATGTATTTCACAAATGGGAGATCAACACATTATTTTTTTTAGTACATGAAACTTATATTTTCACAATTAATTAGCATTAATTTCAATTAAAAAATGTATTTTAAAATAAAAAAAAAAATTACATTCTTCTACGTTACATCAAGAACTAAGTGCATGCCAAAGTTGGTAACAACTGTATATTGTATAGATCTACAGTTAGCAACTAAATTATTCATACCCCTTGTAAATTTGATGTTTTTGTGATTAATGTAAGTCAAGAATGAAAAGTGGACTGGTTAAATTAGGGTTTTTGTTGAATACTCTTAGATGTAAACTTTAATAAGTCACATTTTCAAGAAACATACATCTGGAAAATTCACTTTTTTCAGTTAAAATTGAAATAAAGAGTAAGGGTATGAATAATTTAGTTGTTAAATGTATACTTTGTTAGACCAGATATTTGAAGGTTCTGATGTTCATAAATTACTTTCACTTTACTGCTCAGATAGTAATCTTGATTTATTATTGAAACATGATAAAATGGTTTGTAGACCTACAGTTTATTCTACCAACGACACAGAAAAATGTTTACAGATGTATCTGAAACCACCTTGAATATTTATACAGATATTGTAGACTTAAAGACAGTCATTTGAATCCCATCACCCGGACATTTCACTCATACACACAACCTGAGGAAAGTAATACCTAGGGTATGTGAAATATTCAAATCAAAGGCTTTTAAGCATGACAGCCACCAGAACTCCACCAAATAGCATTGTGACATTCAAATTGTTCGTTAAACATCATCAGTAGAGCAACAAAAAATTATATTTCTCTCCAAAATCAATCTTTTCGTGAGAATATTCTATTTACGATAAGGTTTTACCTAATTCTTGCTTCCCATATCCCTCGCCCCTTGGGTCTCGGTTCGTTATCCCCTCTCACAGTTTTCAATGATCCAAAATACATCCAACACATATGCGTATGTACATTATATTTACAAAAATGGCATAGTAAAAATGTATATTAAAAAAAAATGAGTGCAATCAATGCCATCATTCTGTCCATCGATGACCACAGTTTGGAGCTGTACACACGTAATACAATCGCATTCCCTCCTGCAAATGGAAAATGAGAAAGCAAAAGATGTATTTAGAAATCTTCATCACAATATATACGCCATGAATTAAGAGAGGTACTTGACAAATCTAATGATATGAAGACCTTAAACGTGAAGTTTTCAAAAATTTAAAAAACATCACTGAAACTAGATATATTTTTAATTTTCTGAATACAAATTTTTAATAGATTAAAATCTGGATTTATTTGACCTGGTAGTATTTCATTCACGAAATACCATTTCAAATGTTGTCACAATTTTATTTTAGATGGCATAGCAAATACTGGTAAAGGAAGAACTTCATTACAGAAAAAAACTATTATCATTTGCTCTAGGTCATGCAGAATTGAACTAGCCTTTAAAGGAAAATGGAAACCAAATGGGACTAACTGGGTGATGCAACATCTGCCCTAGGCTTCATTGTCAAGACATGAGGATAGAAATGCTAGAGTATGAGCCATACAACCATTAAATGGCACAAGCTTAAATACAATATACTGTACATGTATTAGAATGGTTTCTTACCTCTAATCTGTTTGCTTGTGACTGAAAGAAGACAGATTCTCTATGACCACACATCTCACATGGATGATCTTCTGTTCTCGGTAGGGTAGGATCAGCAACCACTTCTGCTACAATCTGTGTCAGCTCACTGGGAAAATAAAAAGGGTAAAATGACTGTTTGATTTTGATAATATTGGTGAATGGATAGGCTATAACCGGTAAAGTCCCATACAGACATGGCACAATAAACCATTTAAAAAATCCATTGTTACTGGTGGCAACAATAACATCTAAAAGATTCTCAAGAGGTAATGATTAAGGGGGTGGGAGGGGGGGGGGTGTAAAAACATTTAAAAGACATATGTACAACAGTGGTCCCTTATGCTCACTCCCTGATTTGTAATCTAATGATTGAGGGGGTGGGGGGGGGGGTGTAAAAACATTAAAAAGACACATGTACAACAGTGGTCCCTTATGCTCACTCCCTGATTTTAAATCTAAAGCTGTTTACTGCAATACATCTAGGTCTTGACAAGATGTTTGCTTGGTACATTGTAAGGTGTTTCATGTAGTTGAGAATTAAAAAAAAAAAATGTTTCTAACAAGTTATACATGGATAAATTGTTAAACTTCACAATAAGGTGTTAATGATCAAAATACAAACATTATATAATTTCAGATTGATTTGAATTTAATAATCATTATTTTTAGTGAAATGATTTTGACTACAACTATATGATGAATCATAACTTTTCTTCTGAAAGAAAATGAGACAAACACATTTTGCTGTGGTATTTTTCTTTGGTAATGCTCACATACACTACATCTTGTAGAAATTAAGTGTGCATCTTTCCATTAAAATTAACAGCTAAAGGTTAAATGTACCAAATTAATAAACAGATACATGGTTGAGGTAGCCAAGGGAATACATGTACATGAAATATACTCACTCTACTTCATGGGTGATTTTATTGACGTAGACACAGGCATTATCAGCTTCTTGTTGATAGTCACAATTTCTGCACTGTTTGTACAAATAAAAAATCGAATTACAAAGGCTTCAGTATATGCTTAAATGTACATGTATTATGATACCGGTAGTTAAGTGCCCTGTCTTACAGTACACACCGAAAATCTCCGCAACACGATTTACACAATTCAAAATTTACACGATTCGACTGCTCGCGGGAATCGTGTAACCATTTATTTTTACACGATTCGTTTTTTGCCAATGAAGCGAAATTTGAATCGTGTAAACGTGTAATCGTGTAAAATTACACGATTCCTCAATTCAGGTCGAATTGTGTAATCGTGTAATCTGCCCGCCGAAAATCTCCGCAACACGATTACACGATTCAAAATTTACACGATTCGATTGCTCGCTGGAATTGTGTTACAATTTATTTTCAGTGGTGATGGTGAGCAGGTTAAGGACGTCTAGTTCAGTAAAAGCAAGAAGTTACTTCTTGGTTGAACGAGGACAACGTGGACGATACGAGGGGATAGCGGAGATTACGCTTTCTTTCTCTTGTATATATTTTTAATTGCAGTGTCTTGTCTCTAGTTTTATTATAGAATGTTTGAAAGTTAAAAAAATTAGTCCACTTCCCGAAAAGCACTCTCGGATTTAATCCTCGGTGAGAAAAAAGAAAAAAGTGATGAACGACGAAGGAAGGGGGGAATTTTGTTATTCCTAAGTTGTAAATAAGTAAAAATGATTACAAAATGTAAAGGAGGGCTAACATAATTAAGTATGTTGTGATACTCTTACATTACAAGGCTGTACCAATTAGAATTAGGGTTCACCAGCTCATTCGTTACTATGAATATCGTTATACTTTTTTTATTCAATCATTATCCATTTTACAAACCTGGTTTGTAAAAACGCGTCACATGACGCACGAAAACCAAGATTTGTCGACAAACCTCCTTTGTGAATTCGGGCCTTAGACTTTGATCACTTATTGCTTTTTTAGCGTTTCTCATTTTCGTAAATTACCTTTTACAACATTGCATTATTCAGCTATATGTATAGCTACGGTCAAGGCTTAAGGGCACACTTCCTGTCACATACAAAAGAAGCTTACTCTGAATGTGGCCTGCCATTGACCCTCGCCGGGGACAAAGGCCGTTGCCCTAGCTACAGGCAGAGATCCTTACATAATACCTATTGTTCAGGGGGTTCCCCTTGAACATAGGATCCCCCTGAACAATAGGTATTACATGTACGTAAGTATGTAAGCCACTGGCTACAGAGTGTAGGGAACAGTTGCAAGCCGAGAATGAATAGAATAAGTGAATGGCCAACTGTCTTTGAGTTACGTTTAGCTAGCGGCACAGTGTCCCCCCACTTTTTCAAGTTCCCCCAAAGTGCCCCTTTGTATGTAGGAAAAGTACCTATTTTACTTTGACAAGTGTCCCTATTAATTTGTAAAAGTGCCCCTTCCCCTTTTCAACTCTGATAAGTGCTCCTTTTCTTTTGACACACACCCCTTTTCCTTCGACGAGTTCCTATTTTCCTTTACAATAAGTGTCCATTTTCCATTCTCATTAGTGTCCTTTTAATCTCTAGTAAGTATCCCTCTTTAAGTACGAGAAGTGCCCCTCTTCACTTTTGATAAATGCCCCCATCAACTCCGATAAATGCCCCTATTACATTCTGATCGGTGCCCCTTTTCTTTCAACTAAAGCTTTTTTTTATCTCTCTCTCTCTCTCACTCTCTCTCTCTTTCTTTCAATATCTTTCCATTCCCCCATATCTTTCTCGCCTCTCTTTCCCTCATTATGTTCCCCTCTTACCTTATTAATTTGTCTCTTTTCCTCTCCGTTTCATAGCCTTCTCATTTCTGTTAATTTTACTCGGTTTCGCCCTTCTTTTTTTTATCACTCTATTTCACTCTTTCTTTTCTTCCGGTCAACTTTTTAGTTTTCCCTTTTTTCTCTCTTTTTTCTGTTTATCTTTATCGTCACGGTGCCTTTCAACCCTCATTTTCCTTTTATATGTTCCCTTCTTCTCGTAGCTATCTTTTTTCCTTTACTATTTCATCTATCATGTCTTCCTGTTTCTGACGTTTTCCTACCTTGTCTAACGGATTAGTATACGATACATGTTAGTGGAAAGTGCTGAGGTTTATACACGAATATTAAGTACAGTAATTAACTGATGTACACTGAAGGTTGTGTATAAAGCAATTGGTGTAAGCAGGATAAGATTTAACGATTGTTGCAGCTTGTCGCATCGTTCTACCAATGCCCTTATAACCCTAATAACTATTTACACGATTACACGATTCAGAGCGACATTCTTCAATCGTGTAAATTTACACGATTACACAGTTACACGATTGTTACATCTGGTCGAATCATCCGACCAATGCACTTAACTATTTACACGATTACACGATTCAGAGCGACATTCTTCAATCGTGTAAATTTACACGATTACACAGTTACACGATTCAGGTGAATCGTGTAAACCGTGTAATCCTAAAAATAAATCGTGTAATCGTGTTGCGGAGATTTTCGGCGTGTACTGTATATAGCTACATGGAAGCACCCCCCCCCCCCCCTCCATCCCGAGTCAATGCTGGCTCTATTTTCAAACTACAAGAAGGTTGCATGTCTTTTGGAAATGACATTAGGACAGAAAACAAACTATAATTCTTTCTCATATGTACAGCTATCAAATCTACTTAATATAGTATATTGTTATGTAATAACAATGACAATTAATTATCAACCACTTCAAATGATATTCACACAGTGATATTCTTCTTTTCTGCACATACAACGTTGTTGATTTTAAGTTACTGTATAACGTGTTAAGATTTTCATTTGAACTACTTGTAATGATGATATCTTCAATTCTTGAAGTTGATACACAATTGTACTGTATGCTCCCTTGAACAACAAGTTGGCTTACTTCAAGTTTCTATAACTGCTCCACCAAAATGATCAAATGTTAATTGACAAAATAAATCAATCAATATCTATAGACTATACTTACAGCATAAAGTAATATCCTGTTTTCCTTGTCTTCTTTGGGTACAACATGTTGTTGCTGAAAATATAAGAAAAATTAAGTTTGTTGGTTGTAGGTTATGACACAGTGTTGATGAGGAATGGAAACAGGAAAGTTTTCATACAGCAGACACATTGTTTTTAAAATGGTATGCTCATTTAAATTTTTTCCAATAACAGTTTGCTTGGAATATGTTGTAACATGATGATGATGAGAAGGGACAACATCATGTTTTATGAATGTGTATGACCAATGACCATCTATATCTACGATACTTCACAATGAAAATTTCTACCCACCTGCATCCAGTTCAAATTTGAGTAAACTGTAATAAAGATTTGATTTGTATTGTACTTTGTATTGTAGACCCTCTAGGTTCTTTCTAGTAGAATCTAATTCTAGACTATTCTTCTTCTTCCAAATGTTGACTTACAGTGTACTTACACTCTCTTCTTTATTCTTTTTAAAGAAAGAAATCTGGACATGGACAGGTCTACAAAAATGCTCACAAAAAAATATTCCAATCTAGACTGTAACATCTATTCTAAGTAACAAAACAATTGCCCATACTAATCATACTTAGCCATGGCATGGCATAGCGACTGAGTTGATGAGTGCCAGGCCAGTTTCGCAGGCGGCGCCGCGTCCTCGGCCTCGGGCATCGCGGCTCAGCCGCCAGATGCAGAGCGTCCACACTTTATGCATTCAACACATTCTCTTTCGCAAAATAAATCACTTAGAAATTATAATTACCACTCTTGGCAAAATCTAATGCCTACAAATCCAGGTCCTCGCTTGGGTGGTTGCTCTGGCTGACTCAGTTCCATGATTTCTTGCTGTTATTGTCAATTTTGAGTTAAAGTATAACGACGGTGTCGTTCGGCTTTTCGATAAAGAATCAATACCTTCTATGGTGTCGCCAATTCGCAAATCAAAACATGAAGAACCCCATTTTCTAAACAGAATACTAAGTGTACACTGAAAGCCCATTATTAATATTAGTTCATGTGAATTAAAATTTGAGAGAAATTAAGTGGCGCCAGATAATTAATGATATAGTGATTGGGGTTACGGTAAAAAATAACTGATAAGGCTACCCTGGGCCTGGGTAAACGAGACTTATTTTTATTGGTTGGGCACCCATAATTTTAAAAAAAGTCACAAAACCCACCCTTAAAAATATCAAAATACATTTCCCCCCTTTTGAATAATGAAAACATCATTAAGCCCTTTTTATTATGGTCTTTGGAAATGGTGTGGGAGTAGTGCCTCCCCCTCCCCCTCACCCACCTATAGTACAGTGCATTCACATCGAAAAAATCTGAAAACACACTGTGACACAATTTGACCCCGATTCAAATTGGAAAGTCTTGGGAAGACACTTCTTTACGGAAGCCTTAATTAATACACTGCAAAGCTTCAATATATCAGCCTCATAATTTGTAATACTTTTTTTTGCACTTTTATTGGTTGGGGGCGGGGGGGGGGGAGAATGTATTCCAAAGACCAGAATTTAAAAGGTTTAATGATCTTTTCATTACACCATTATTTTTTTACGGTACCAGAATAATTTTTTTGCAAAAAAAATTACATTTGTGTTGGAATTACCGCTCCTCTACTTTATTAATTTAACGCCACTTAATTCCTCTAATAGGTTAATTTACATGGTGGCACTCAGAGGCGGCCATCTTGGGGGCAGAGGTCACAGTGCCTCCACTATTTCAAGTACCCAAAGTGCCCCATTTTATGTAGGAAAAGTGCCCCTTTTCCTTTACAATAAGGGTCCACTTTCAATTATCATAAGTGCCCTTTTTAATCTCTAGTAAGTGCCCCATTTCAGGTACGAGAAGTGCCCCTTTCCACGTCTCCTTTTAATAACTCCCCCTTTTAAATTCGGTTAAGTGCCCGTCATATTTTCACATGTGCCCCTTTTCCTAATGATAAGTGTCCCCCTTTTTTTGTTTTGTTGTTGTTGCTGTTGTTATTGTCACTATTTTAATGTTTTGATTTAAACATTTATTCATTGTTATAAATTTGTTCTCTTTTGCTATGTTATCTTTATATATTATGTACATATGTTTTTGAATGCTTTTTATATGATTGATGTAAACTTGCATTTTTAGTCTGTGGACTTTTTGACAAGTCATGAATAAAACCTTATTTGAATCTTGAATCTTGAATTAAAAAAGATCCCCTTCCCCTTCTCATAAATGCCCCTTTTCAAGTACGAGAAGTAACTCATTTTCACTTCATATAAGTGCTCCCTTCACCTCCGATAAATAGCCCCTATTAAAATCTGATCGGTGCCCCTTTTCTTTCAACTAATGCACATTTTCCTGCTCAAGTGCCCCTTTTTCATTCTCATAAGTGCCCCTTTTCACTTTGTTAATTTCTTTTTATCATTATTCTTATTATTTCTGATAAGGGTCCCCTTTTCCTCTCATCATCAAACGCGCCCCTAATTTCAAGCGACTAAGAGCCATTTCCCCCAAAGCTATACTGATCAAAGGTCTTTTCAGTTTCCCGTTATGAGATGGGCTTATAACCCCATCAGGATTGGGTTTTTTCCTCTTTATAAAATGTTATTTTTCGCACTGCGATCTCACAAACCTTAAACAAATTTCCTCACTCGATTCGCTCTCTTCAGACCATCACATCCAAATGCAAAGTATGATACTCAAGAAATATCCTGTATGTTGTATATGAGAAACAAATATTGAAATCATCCCTAATAACGTAATGTAGGGGCATATACCCAGGCGCATACGCAGGTTTTTCGGGGGGGGGGGGTAATTTGAAAATCGCGCTGAAAACGACTCAGCCAGCCGCTGCATAAGCGGGGGGGGGGGGGGGGGGTAAGAGCACATTAAAAAAACAAATTGTCCCGAAAATTTGAGAATTTGACCGATCGATATTTCGTTCCGTTGGGGGGCGGGGGGGGGGGGTAAGGTCACCTTTTTTTGGTCACCCATTAGCACAATTTTTGTTTTAATTATTAAAAAACAATGGAGGGGGGGGGGTTCCAACAAAAAAATAGGGGGGTTCGACCCCCAACCCCCCCCCCCTTTCGTACGCGCCTGCATATACCAATGTCTAAAAAATCGCATATTTTCGCTTTGAGTTTTCCCTTTGAAGGTGCCCTTTTTTCTTGGTGCCCCACTTTGGAAGTCGCTTGGCCGCCCCTGGTTGCACAATTGGGCTTCCGTGTGAGAAGGTCAATCCGCTGCATAAATTTATGCCAAACACGTGCAAAAAGTTACTTTTCCATTATTAATGTCGGTACATCGAAAGGTGGTCGTGACATTTTCAACAATTCTGTCACTACTTTGAATTATATCAAATATATTATGCAAATAATAACATTCACATACATCAAAAGCATATGACACTTTAATTGACTTGTTAATTTATGGGAGCGTCATAAGCGACGCGAGTTTCTAAACTTTTCACACAAACATGGGGGGATGTGAACTGCCCATTTCCCTTCTATCTTCTAGACTGACACACATTAAGACATATTCTATAAAATTGCTCCTAAAACTGTGTTTTTGTACCCTTTTTTGAATTTTTAAATTGAACACGGTCAAGTTAACTTGGCACCTGGAAATATTATATTCTTTCACATACTTCCCCCTTCGGTTTTTTTTCTCCACGGTCATAGATGTTTTTGAATAATACACCATCATACCCATTCATAAGAGTGAAAGCAATATAAAGATAGTAATAATCAAAACATTACCATTGGATGAAGCGAACGGGTTTTAAAAAATCTTTTACATCTGAGCGGTTTTTTCTTACTATCGTTGTCGATAACATTTTGTCAGGATTTCAACGTATTTTTTTTAATAGTTCAGTAGAAAAAACAACCAAGAATTTCCGAAAAGCAAACTGGAGGGCAATTATGTGGCACCACCTTCCTTTGTCTATGGTGCTTACATTAAGCACACATCTAAGGCAACGTGCGTTTTAAAAAATAAAACTATCCTTGTTTAAATATATAGCACGGTTCTCATATAAAACATGCAAAAAGGTAGGCCTATGCAGTTTCGTTATATAATACACTCTCACCGCCTTTTTGTAAACATGCAGCTTCAAGTCATAAATCAGATCCCTCTTTTACAAAATAAGATAGACTATTATGTTTATTATGGGGGTAAAGAGGACATTTTTTTTTTTTTTTTGGGGGGGGGGGGGAGGGGGGGGGGGTCCCGAAATTTGAAATTTTGACCCATCGACATTCCGTTCTGTTGGGGGGGGGGGGGGTAAGGTCATCTTTTTTAGGTCATCTATAAGGAATTAAAAAAACAAAACAAACAAACAAACAAAAACAAAATCAAAAGGAAGGGGTTTTCCCCAAAAACATACACAAAACATACAAATAAAAAAACTCAAGGGAGGGGGGTTTAACCCAAACCCCCCCTCCCCTGCGTACGCGTCTGTGCGAGCCAAATATTGGTACGTAATGGTGACCAGCATTGACGTAATGGGGGGGGGGTGCTGGGAGGGGCAATGTTCCCCCTCCCTCCTCCGCAGAGCGCCGAAGCTTTGACGTTTCATTAAATTATTGCAGAAAGAAGACGATTTGTTGTACCGTTCTCGAAAATAATCCTCGTCTGAATACAGTTTACCCCACCCCTCCCCCCTCCCGCGGAAACTTTTACGTTTCATTAAATCACCAGAGAAAGAAGACGATTGATTGTACCGTGTTTGACTCTTAATCCTCGTATGAATTTAGTTTTCCCCTCCCGCGCGAAGCGCGAAAGCTTTTACGTTTCATTAAAATCATAGGAGAAAGAAGACGATTCGTTGTACCGTTCTCGACTCTTAATCCTCGTCTGAATTCAGTTTTACTCCCCCCCCCCCTCCCGCGCGTAGCGCGGAACCTTTTACGTTTCATTAAATCATTAGAGAAAGAAGACGATTCGTTGAACCGTGTTCGACTCTGAATCCTCGTCTGAATTCAGTTTTCCCCTGCTGCGCGAAGCACGGAAGCTTTTACGTTTCATTAAATCATTAGAGAAAGATGACGATTCGTTGTACCGTTTTCGACTTTTAATCCTTGTCTGAATTTCCAAAATGTTTTTTTGTTTGCTACTTTTTCTTCCTACGTCCTCTTCCTTTTCTATCCTCTCTTTTTTGGCCGGCTTTTTTTTGGGGGGCGCCCCCACCGCCCCCTGGCTACGCGCCTGCGGTCAGATGAATATATTTTGATACCTTGTCCGCCCCCGGAAACTCAGGGGTTTAAGGCAATAAATTACGGTCAGATAAGCATTCAGGGTCCCGCCTAGGGCCCCTGGTGGAGTCCAGCGGGCGGAGCCCCCAGAAGCTCAAGGGTTTTAGGCACTAAATTACGGTCAGATGAGTATCCAGGGGTCCGCCATAGGGCCCTTAGTTGGATAGAGTTGGGCAGAGTTCCCGTAAGCTCAGGGGTTTTAGGCTATTATTTACGTTCAGATGAGCATTTTTGATACCATATTTTGTTGTGACACTGGCAGTTCACTATTCTTTCTTTTTTGCTCTCTTTCTATTTATTTCTCATTTATATTCTTTTTCCAAAAATTCCGGGGGGGGGGAGCTGGAAGCTCCCGATCCCTGCCGTTCCGCGGGCCCTGACATGTAGGCATCTTAAGAGGCATATTTTTTGCCTGGCTGTAAATTTAGGAATTTGTCATTTTACAACAAACGCATAAAGAAGTATAATTTACCAAAAAATGAGAAAAAATCTCATTAAATTTCATTTCCCCCGAGCCTCCCCCCCCCCCCCCTCCTCCCCAGATCTACACTTTGTTGGCGGAAAAATTGCAACTGATCTCCTCTACCTTTCTTCTTTCTCTTTTTTTCTTTCCCTTTCTCTCCTCTTTCTCTTTCCCTTCCCTTCCCTTCTTTCTCTCTCTTTCAGGTTTGCTGGGGGGGGGGGGGGGGGGGAGGGAGGCAAGGTCTTTTCGGCCTCCACCCTTTTATACACGTTGTTGGCGGATTAACAGCAAATGATCTATTTCCCCTTCTTTTCACCTTTTTTTTCTCTTCCTCTTTTTCGGTCCCTTTTAGCTCTAGTTTTTTCCTTTTCCTTCCTTCTCTCTTTTTTTTAGCGGGGGCGGGGGGAGGTAAGGGCCTTTTGCCCCACCCCCACCTCGATCCACAACTAGTTGGCGGGAAAACTGCAACTAATACCCCTTCTTTTCTTTTCTTCTTCCCCAATTTCCTTTCCTTTATCTCCTCTTTTCCTTTTTTCTTTCCATTCCTTCCTTCTCTTTTATTTTTTTGATGGGGGGGGGGGGGGGAGGCAACAGCCTAGGAGGCGAGGCCCCCCGATCTCCTTCTTCTCCCTTTTCTTTTCTTCTTCCTCTTCTTTCTTTCCCTTTCTCTCCTCTTTCCCTTTTTTCCTTCTGTCTCTCTCTCTCCTTTTTATTTCCTTTCTTTTTTCCTTCTTTTTATTCCTTCTTTTTTTTCCTTTTTTTTTCCTTTTTTTTTCCAAGGGGGGGGGGAGGCGGGCCGGGCCACCCTGGATCCGCCACTGGTCGGTCTTGTTGGTGTGACTGAGGTCTCAGACCTATTCTTCATCTTATGTCTATGGATCTTCATCAATCTTCTTTACAGGTAACGCATGAGAAATGTATCACTTCTTCATGGATACAAATTTGCCCAGAGCCACTCTCTGCACCGTTTGGGGGTATAGAATACCGAGTCTTTACGAAAGATATTGTCACAAAATTTAAACTACTCTCCCTATCATTTCGAAATGAAATGGATATTTGCGTGTATATGACTGTGATGACATGAAATGATATAATTATGAATGGAAATCTAGTCGTCGGAAGAGGGGCATTTTTACCAATTCTGTATGGTATCTTGTTGAAGGAGACAAGAATTAAAAATGACGATTTTTTTTTTTTTTTTAAATAGTCCATAGAGTTATTTTTACAGTATAGGGAACCAGTATTGAGAATCTCTTGTCATGCTTCCAAAAATTGGACCACGGTGTATCTTCTCAGTCTCTCCCTCAATCTCTCACCCTCTCTTCCTCCTCTCTCTGTTTTTTCTTCTAAATTTCCACCGTTCTTTCTTATCTTCTTTGCCCCCTTTTAGATTGTTCTTTCTCCCCCTCCATTTCATCATTTATCTGCCCATCTTTCTCTCACCTCTTTCACTATATCCCAATAAATCTCGAAATACAAGACAAATGTAGTATGAATTTGTTTCACAGTAACTATTAATATATTTTTTATTTCACAATATCCACAAGGAAAACTATAATGAGACTGGAATATAAGTCACTATTAGTTTAAGATTTGGTGAAAGATGTATATAAGATTTGGTGTAATATAAATATCTTTACTTTGCACTTTGTGCAAAATAATCATATCAATAACTTCGTTATCTACGTTAACTTTTCAAGCTATAGCGACATTTGAGGAGTTATCAAGTTTTTTCGGAAAATCTATTTCTCTTCATTAAACCGAAATGAAATATTTTGTGTTCACCTTTAAACTTATATGCAATATTAAATCAAAAGAAACAAAGGAGTGATCTACAATCTACCAAAACAAAACAGCAAACACACTTGCTCCACAGTTCCAACAATTAATATACTAGCAAAGAACCCTGTTTCCAAAGAGGCTTCAATGGGAGGAACCCCACTATCTACAAGGTTCATTTGATGTTATGAAATTAATGACGAAGAAATGTGAAACCGAGTTGAAAGTGAATTAAGATAAACACCGACATCAAGCGTCGAATCCCATGTTTCCAATCAGATACATTCCTTGATTGAAAGGCTGGTTCTTAATTCTCTTGAAACCTTTAAGACTTTTATTAGAACATTTTACAGTAGCCTGCCTGCCTGGCATGTTCGTCTTCCCTGCGCAGGATGTCCTAGTCTTGATTGATTTTATTTACGTGCTATACATTAATGTGCTAAAGTTTGACCCATTACCAAAATGAAACAAAACACGCATCATGATCTCATTGCCTTACTGGTTTTCGTGGTATTGGTAAGCTACTTCACAACAGAGTGAGAAATAACAAAGTTCTGGAATAAATATTTATGCAATTGCTTTGAAATTGACAAAGCTGAAATCATTTTGCTATATAGTATATAGAAATATACTCCTATGTTTTCAATGACTGAATCAAATTGATATCCTATCTATATCGTTAGGCTATTCAAATCTAATGCAAAGGTGTTTGCAAGTTTGGCTGAATAGCTTGGGGATGTTAGTCGGTTAAGAATCTATGCTGGAATGAGATCGTCGATGGATTCGCCCTTCTCAAGTCGCTTCTCCATCTGGATGATGAGGTTGACACCGTCGATGACGCGGTTGACTTGTTCGACTTCGGATGATCCGAGACGATCAAGGTTAGAGACATCGTACACGCCTCCAACAGCATCGGTCAACTCTCCAGCTGAGATTGAAAACAAAAGTAGGAAAGGTAAGTTGAGTATTGGTGTCTTGTTGCATATGAAAAGGCTTTAATCATTAACTATGATAATCGATGTATTGATTTTCATCAAGTTGATGGGCCTCCTCCTACAGAGGGCACCAAGGATTGTTAGAAAGTTTATACTTTCTAACAATCCTGGGTCTTGCATGCGTATGGATGATTGGGGACACAGATGGCCCCCAAAGTGCTAATTCTGTTCTTTAAGTCACATTGCATAGGCCTAAGATGCGAAATCGTCAATGCCATGACGAAGATTTTTCGGATTCTAGCATAATAATTGATAAGAGGCTACAGTGTGAAAAAATGAAAGAGAAAATGAAAGATGTGTTATCTTAGTCATCGTAGTAGTGGTGATTATTTTACATGACTGCTGAGAAAGCATAAATGCGTGTTAGTAAACAACCAGAGGACCGACGGCTTTAGGTCCTTTCCAAGGGACCTGGTAATGAGGGTTATACTTCTTAAGAAACCAGTGATGAATCCAGGGGGTACCGATGGCAGAGAATATTGTAACCAAAACAGAAAAAGTGACCTTCCTATTTTTGATTGAGTGTCACACAATCCTAGAACTATAACCCCAGCTGCTCCCCCTCCTCCCCCCAGCCAAATAATCCTGGATCCGCCGCTGGCAACCATCTGTCCACCCTCTCTTTTGACTTACATGTTCCACGCTCCTGGAGCCTGAGTTTCTTGCAGATCTCCTTGAGCTTGGCTTCTTTATCAATGGCAGCTAGCTTGGGAATCTTGACGTGCACACTGCAGCGGACACCGGTACCCAGGTTGCTAGGACAGGTCAGGATGAAGCCAAGATGCTTGCTCGCCATGAACTCAGAACCATTTTTCTTTATGTGTTTCTCCACCTGTTGATATGAAGAAGAAAAAGACTTCGTCATCCACGATGCAATTTGTTTTAAGTGTACCTGGCATGCCATAAGGTAATCACATAAACCTGAATAAACCTGAAGAATCACTTAGGACAATGCCTTGATCTGATGTGGACCATGATAGGCCAGGGGCGGATCCAGGAATTTCTTCCCGGGGGGGGGGGGGGGATAAGAGGACATCGCAACGACTCAGCCAGCCGCTGAATAAGCGGGGGGGGGGGGGGGGGGGGGGGAGGGGGGGGGGGGGGGGGGGTAGTGCGCACTAATATATATATATTTATTTTTTGGGGGGGCTGGTGGGGGGGGGGGCACCTGCCCCCTGTGCCCCCTCCCCTGGATCCGTCCCTGTTGGCGCATCAAGATATATTTCTTTTTTTAAATTTGCCCGTTCGGGGAGAAGAGGGGGGGGGGGGGTGGGAAGAGATATATCTCCCATGATTTGACAAATATTGCCCTAAAAAATCTGATATAGTAATTCTCGAAAGAGATTCTGTATTAATCATTATTTTGTATGCCATTATGGCTTGAAAATGTAATTTTTTCATCATTATTATCATTATTATTATTATTATTTTATAGTTATTATAATCATTAATAATATTATTTTCAATATCATATTATCGTTGATAATATTAGAATTATCATTATCAGTAGTATCAGTATAGTATTCATAGTAGTAGAAGTAGTAGTAGTAGTAGTAGTAGTAGTAGTATTATTAGTAGAAGTAGTATCAGTAGAAGTAGTAGTATTAGTAATCATAATAGTAAACCAGTATCACTTGTTAGCTGACTGACCTGATCGAGACCGTTGGCCCATCGTGTGAAGACTCTCTTCATGTTACCTCCCATCTCCATTGAGATGATACGGGTATGATCTTCTTCACCAACCCACACAAGGAAGTTCTTCTTCTCGTTGTGCCTGGATTAAAAAAACACAGATATCTCAATAAAATTAAGGGTGCAAAAAAAATATCTACCCCTCTGCAACCGTATCCCGAGCTTGAAGCTCATTATAGTTTAGGTACAGCCAATATATTGCTCCATTCTGATGGCCTGCATTTATCTATCATATTTTTCTTTTTTCCCCCATCATTTATTGATTGAATAATACGTACATAAGAAACACAAAATTATATTGATTACAAAGAAAAACACATGAATTATACTTATATCACAAAATTAATTATACTTAAAAAAAAAAAAAAAATAATAATCAACATTTTTTTCCAGAGGTGATACTATTCAACATTTGCCCTACATAATATTCCTTTAAATAAATGTCGCGGAATATGTTTTTAAATGACATTTTATTTTTTACATATATAAAACATAAGAAGCTAAATTAATAGATTTTAAAAAAAATTTGAATTTTGAATTTATATAATCACATTGCTTGCCTACAATTATTATATCAATGTATCTATCATGTATATGTCATGGGCGTTACACATTATGTCATTGTACAAACTTCAAATGTAGTTGATAATGATTGAGAAAAGTTTTTTCACTTATTGCCCCACGGCCCACACATCTATATGATGTGAGATTACAATTTTGGAATTTAAAGGGACAGTTACATTTTGGTAAAGAGGGCACTACACAAAATAATGCTGTTGTGAGAAAATGAAAAACTGAATGCCAAATTTGAAAGAGCATACAATTTAGATGACAAAATCATCTCTTTTGTTCAAAATCGGTTCAGAGACGGCTGAAATAGCCATAAAGATATTAACCATTTCTAATATTTGTGGGGACCCCAAAATATACGATAATTTTGAACCAGCCCTTGAAAAAAAGAGAAGCGCCTTATACGTTTTACTATAGCCAATGCCAATGTTGGATTTTCGTGTTAGTTATAATACGTACAACCAGCCGGCCCGTGTTTTGTTATTATTAAATTATTGAATTAACGGTCACCTTAGTTTTGTTAAACTGGAGCTGAATTGGTATGATCGGATTTGATCTAAGTTCACACATTTTGGGTCTAAAATTACCTTCCTAGCAATTTTTGGTCCTGAAAGGCCTCTAGAAATGTCATAAATAAGAATAAGAGCAATTAATATGCTTTTCTGCTACAGAATATGGCCTACTTCTGTTTGATTCTACTATCCTTACTGTTATTTTCCTTTAATCTTCTTTCACTATCTCTGCACTGCCTGTAAAAAAAGGGGGCACAATTCTAACAAAAAATATCTGACAAACAGAAAGATGCTGGTTGCACCCCCCCCCCCCCCCACCCCGTCGCTTTACTAACCATATTCCACGACCGTCGGGGAAGTCACGTGCCATACCACCTGATGTGAAATGGCGGGAAATTGGTTTCTCAAAGAGGAAATGGTCATCAATGAGCTGTTTCTTGTCGGCTTCAGACATAGTAGGTAGTTTGTAGTAGGTGCCCTTCAGCTCTCCGTCAAGTGAGGCCAAGGCTGCAAACATTAATAAGTGAATTTAAAAAAAAATGATGATAAATGTCTCCAGTGTAGTTAATAAATAGATTTGATTTCATTGTTTGATATTCCAACCTAAAAGGAAAAACTGAAAGAAATTATAATGAATCATCAATTAATTTCCTATATATCCGGATTTTTACTGGGTAACATGGCTACATGTGCGTCTTTAAAACAACGACTTTTGAATTGAGTGGAGTCCCATGTCTGCCCAACCTCGACACTTAATGTAGATCAACTTTACTGTGACTAGTCTGATTGAACAGGGGGGGGGGGGGGAAGAAGCATAATTTCACTCAAGCAAGCACATAATGGTAAAAACCACAAAATCGTTTAAACAATTAATGTATTATGTAATCATCTGAAAAGGTGAGTTCGTTGAAATGAAGCTGGTAGACTTACCAGAAGATACAAGGGACTCCACCTTTCTCCTCTCAGCACGGCAGATGAAAGGGCTGAGACAGAACCCCTTGAGATTGCGACCAGTACGGATCCTGGAACTGACGACGTATTCTCGTCCAAGATGTCATCTTTGATCTTGCTCACGTCCATGTCAGTCACGTGGTCCTCTGAGAGAGAAGAAATATATAATCATAGTTATGGATCCCTAAAGAAGATGATAAAATAATTAGGTAGGTGGTGGTGGTGGTGGTGGTGATGATGATAGTGATGGTGGTGATGACGGTGATGGTCATGGTCATGGTGATGATGGTGATGGTGGTGGTGATGATGATGATGGTGAACGTGATGTTGATAATGGTAATGGTGATGTTGATGATGGTAATGATGATAATGATGATGTAAGTGGAGATTTCTGTGATATTTTAGAATTTTGAGAAATCAATAACAAAATGATAAAAAGTATATCATTCATACTTTTTTAAACAAAGTCTGCATCGTTAAAGGCATGTACGTTACCAAAGGGTTTCGACTGTAAAAATAAAGGACAAGTTTACAATTATGAATATGATACCTGTGCAATGAAGTTAAGACTAGTTTAATATAACTTACGATCCTTGGAGAATCCATTGTGGTAGTCGGAAATGCAAGGATCCAGGAGATCAGAAAAAGTCGTGTAGGTCTCTTCGTCTCCGGCCAGGATTCCCAGAGTGAAATCTAAAAGAAGTGGACAAATAACGATTACCAATGACAATGAAGTAAAGTGAAATATCCAATAGCAATATGGATCGAAATCAAGACTTTGATGTGAAAACTTACTTTCTAAGTGATCAGTGTTATCCTGATTATATTTATACAAATCAGCATTAACTAAGTTAGAGATCTTTTACATTACTCTTAATTTACCTGGGTTATCAACGCCATTCTGGATGCAGAGGTCGATTGTGAATCCACTGGGGGTGTGAACATCCCTCAACTTTCTGTACATCTCCTTGGTGAGGTTCTTAGCCATGAAGGTTTGGTTACCTTCCGCGATGGGAAAATCCTCATCGGTATCATATTTCTGCTTATTCAGGTTAGCCATGGTGACACGGGATGTTTTTCTTGAAGTCCTGCATGAGAAGGAAAAAAAAACACAGAAAAAAGCGATTACATACAATGTGTGCCGAATGACATAATGCTTCTATATATCGTCTTCTAGAATTGAAAAAGCTCTTGCTTCTTTTGGTATTACTATCATCTTTCAGTTGTCATGAGTTTTTCTTTCTTTTTTGTGAATGAATGAAATGGATAAAAGACATGTTTAAGCATATATTAAGCAAGTATAGGCCTACTACATAAGCTTAAATAAATAAGATATTTCTTTTTTATTTTAGGGTTTTCTTTGAAATCGAGATGGACCGTACTGCGACAAGGGTAACATGGGTGCCTTCCCATTCAAAATGAAGAAAGAAAAGTAGATAATCAACCGAGAGATTTTGTCACCTTGTCGACGGATCAGTGATATGAATTATTCTACTCTGGTATGATCGTAACGCAGATCTTTGTTGAATTAATCAAGTCATCGTTGGATATCGCAATTTATACTTCTCAAGTCTGTAATCGATGAAACTTTCGGTCAATTTCTGTGTCTCTCATTCCACATAAAAGGCACATCCTGACATTAATTCACCGCAGTTGTTTACAAACACATGCACGCCTTACGTACATAACATGGCCTAATTATTCCATGAATTCTCAGGAATTTCTACATCTAACTTTACAAAATGCTATTACTGGTATTACACCAAAACCATATCCGACATTAAATTTTTGTTTATGTCTGATTAATTTGGAGAAACGTGAAAAACCTCATTGTAATTTAACCTATCTTCAAACTTGATTAGAGTCAACCTATACGGACTGAAGTGTCATCATGGCGTACGTGTATTTCTACCATGGATAGCTGCTTAATTTGTCTTTCAGTTTCGTGCTCATTTTGAAATGGCATGTTATTCACCTCCTATTTACTTCCATATTCACTTCCATCTAACTTCATTTCGTCCAGTAATCAATCTTCTGAGAACACTAGTAGACCTATTACACGATTTTAAATATCTACTGTACAACTATTTAAAAGAAAGTGTGCATTGCTTTCCTTATTAGTCTTATATTGTATTATAAGCAAAATAAAAATTAGAAAATAATCTACTAAATCTATAGCAAAATGATTTCGATCGTTTTTATATCGACAATGCATCACATCCTCAGTTTTATTTGTAAAGGAAATTTCCAACCTTAATAGCAGATTACTCATTAGAAAGATAAATCAGGAAAGCAGACTTGTGAAAGTTTAAATGATATCGGACATAAAGCGTATAGTCAGCGACTCAGCGGGATTGTTAGACTATTTTGAATTAAAGTTGGGGTGATTCCAGGGAGGGCGGATTAATGTTTTGATAAAAGGGGTGTTTAATTCAGACAAATTTCTGATAAAAAAAAAGAAAAAGAAGACGAAAACATGTGACTGGTAATGAGGTGCCTTTTGTTGGGAATTGATAGGGGGTTCATGTTTTTCTTGTAATACCTAGGATAATGGTTTCAACAGGGGCACATGGTGGTTGCCTTCTCCCTTGGTGAGCCCGGTACTAGATTGGTACCTACAACTAAAACCCACATCCCTCTGAGTATAATATAGTATTGATTTATCTATATACGATGCTTACATAATCCAGCTACCTGCATTGGTTATAACCACTATTGGGCCCACAAACCGTACGACTACGTATGAATACAGAGGCGGCCTCCCGGGGGGCAGGGGGGGGGGGCACAGTGCCCCACTTTTTCAGATACCCCAAAAGTGCCCCTTTAGATAGGAAAAGTGCCCTTTTATTTTGTAAGAAGTGCCCCTTTTACATAGGAAAGGTGCCCCTTTTACTTTGACAAGTGCCCCTATTACTTAGTAAAAGTGCCCCTTTCCCCATTTTCACCTCTGACGAGTGCCCTTTTTATTTTTTTACACGTGCCCTTTTCCTTCGACATGTTCCATTTTCCTTGCAATAAGTGTCCATTTTCCATTCTCATCAATCTTGAAATTATCTTGAATAAGTGCCCTTTTTAATCTCTAGTAAGTGACTCTTTTCAGGTACGAGAAGTGCCCCCTTCACCTCTGATTATTGCCTTATTCAAAACTGAGAGGTGAGGCTCCTTTTAATTTGACAACTTCCCCTTTTTCCTTTGTAAAAAGTGCCCTTCTCCTTTTAATAACTACCCCTTTTTAAACTCGGATGAGCACACCTTTCATTTTAACATGTGCCCCTCTTATTTCGAATAAGTGCCCCTTTTCCTTATGATAAGTGCCTCCATTAAAAAAGAGTGCTCCTTCCCCTTCCCACAACTACCCTTTCCCTTTCTAATAAGTGTCCCTTTTCCTTATGATAAGTGCCCCCATTAAAAAGAAGTGCTCCTTCCCCTTCTCATAACTGCCCTTTTAAAAATCTGAACAGTGCCCCCTTTTCATTCACCAAATGCACATTTTCCTTTATCATAAGTGCCCCTTTTACATTTTCATAAGTGCCCCTTTCATATCAGGTCAGTGCCCCTTTCAACTCTGATAATTCCCCTTTAATAATGATACGTGCCCTTTTCCTTTCTAATAAGGGACCTATTCCCTTTTCACCTCTTATAATGCCCCTATCAAAATCTGATGGGTCCCTTTTCCGTCAACAAATGCCTATTTCCCATTTTCGTAAACACCTCTTTTTCATCACTGGTGAGTGCCTCTTTTCAGGTGAAAAAAAATGCCTCATTTCACCTTATAATTATCCTTTGTACTTTGACACGTGTTCCTTTTCTTTTCTAATAAGTGTCTTATCCCTTTCGATAATTGTCCCCTTTTCATGTAATCATTAAACGTGCCCTTATTTAAAGCGACTAAGAGCAATTTCCCCCAAAGTTCGCTCGCTGCGCTCGCTCGCATTTAAAGATGATATAATTATGTTACTTATCAAAGGTCTTTTCAGTCTTCCGTTATGAGAATGTGCTTATAACCCCATCACGATGGCTTTTTCCTCTCTATAAGATGTAATTTTTCACACTGCGACCTCACAGATCTTTAAAAATTTCTCGCTCGCTTCGCTCGCTCGTAAATGCATATTCAGACATCACACCCAACTGTAAAGTATGATGCTTAAGCGATATCTTGTATGATGTATGAAGAGAAACAAATATTGAAATCATCCCTTATAATGTAATCACAATGTAGGGGTATATACCAATGTCTAAAAAATTGTATATTTTCGCTTTGAGATTTCCCACTGTAGGTGCCCTTTTTTTCCAGAAAGTGCCCTTTTTTGTTGGTGCCCCCCCCACTTTGGAAGATTATAATTTCTTTCTGTTTGAAGACAAGACTTGGTAAACGAAACGCTAAACGTATTATCCCGAAGGTTTTTTTTTTTTTTTTCTAATTGTGTTTTCTCAAAACATCCGAGCTTCCTTCTTCCTTTAAGGAAATCTAGAGTCTAAATAACTAAACCCTGAAAGGATCATTGCAAATGTGATGGTTTATCTGTCATCAATTAAGAAGAGAGAAGAAAGGGGTGGAGAGAAGAGAGGGGTGGAGCGAGAGGGGAGAGTGGCAAAACGGAGAGGCAGAGGAGGACGAATTAAGTTCGAGGAGAACGGAAAGGAGGAGGGGAGAATAAGGCGAATGTTTATGAAAGAGAGAAAAAGAGAGAGGGAAGAGAGATAGATATATACACAGACAAACAGACGGAAAGAGGGGTGGGGCACTTGCCAAGGGACAAATAAAAAATATTAAATAGCAAAAATAACCTTTATTGAATTTAAAATTAAAATTATGGCCAATTTCTAATTTTTTTTCATCTATACCAAACGTCACATGCTTCAGAAAGCACCTTAAATACAATTACTTCCCAATCATTAGCCACCAATAGAATTTCAGTCAAAATTCAAGACTTTTATCGAAATTCAAGTGTTGCTGAAAAATAACTCGTTGAAAGCCGATAATCCTACTAGATGCTCTTGAAGAAAATGACTGACTGAGTGATTAAACCCTCTATATCATCAGTGATGAGGTAATAGTCACTGCAACTCCTTTATGGCAGAAAAATAGGGAAAAAATACTGACTGAACTTTGAATGTCACAGGTAAAACAATAAAGTCACATCACTCGACACGTTTTATCCCACGGATGTTGTGTCACTACTCAACACACCATCACCGAATCATTCCCACATCCTCTCCTAAAGATTATACCAAATCACTGATAAAGATCAAAAGCAAGGATCAATGCATTCGACGAAAGAGCTACCAAAAGAGGATGTCTACTTAAGTAATTTATTGCTAATATAACATAAAATTGACAGATTAACTGTGAGGTCAACTCAGGGTTACTCAATTATGTTCTGCCAAGTTTTAGCTAAATTTTCTTTTGGGGTTACAGCAATAATTATAGTTTTTTCATTTTTATATAGAGCTAATTTCTGTCCGCCATGACACTCCTGGTGCTCCACAGACATGGAAATATATAGGGGGCTCTATTAGGATGTGGTCAGGAATTGGGACTTGGAACTAAAAAAAAAAATAACAAAAACAAGAAATATCCACTTTTTGGCCATTACGTGTTGCATTGGTCTATGGCAAGGGAACGGGAAAATTCCAGGTTCGAAACCCAAATTGAAGGAATCGATCAAAAGACAAGCAAAGTGAATCATACAACTTTGAGCAGAGTTGGACGTGACCGATAGAGGGTGATGCATGCAGAGCCATCTATACACAGAGTTGGCCAACTTGTATAGATGGCTCTGATCATGGATCTATTACGGATGGACATTCAACGTGATTTTTTCTTTGATTCAATGGTAGTCTCCGCCTTCTGATTATGTGCATCTTAATGAGAACATTCAGCTGTTTTAACAATAACGACTGCATAAGCATTTTCAGTCATTGACAAAGGAGCAGTTTCCCTCTCTTGGGTTTTGTTAGGTCGGTGTGCTCTGTAAGAGTGTCTTAAATTAAAAAACATCCCCAATGGGGAGCAGCAGAGTTGAAAGCAGAAGATTTTGGTGATATGAAATGTATTATTACTGATTGCACACTTTCGCACACACCC